TTTTGTTTTTCTGATCGGTGGAAGACGGCAATTGTAAAAAATAGGAAAGAAAAAAAACCTCCGAGACCCGTTCAAAATCACACATGCAGCTAGACGGAAGGTACATGATCCCGACAGGCGGACAAGGTTTTGCCAGAGACAAAAGCATGATGCCGGTGGAAGGGAAAGGTGGAGAAGTCGACAAAAGACGTTGCGTTTAGAGAGTGTCATACAACAGTTCCTATACTTTGGGGATTCTTCCTCATCGGCATTTTCTAAAGACCTCCAATCACAAAAAAAGGAACACCAAGGAAATGATTCACGACGGCTAGAGGCGTATATAAGCGGCGGAGGAACGATAGATCCGCCGGCCAGTGGTCAAGGAAGAAAAGTAGATCCGCGAACAACTTTCTTTATTCCCTTTTTATTGCGTACTGGTGATGACAATATATGTTTCGTGTATATGGTGTATATGTTCAATATATTCTGTTTATATATTCTGTATAAACTAATTCGATATATATTATGTATATATCTTCTTTATATATTTTTTTGTATATATTACAAAAAGATCATGTATTTTGTGTTTGATATGAACTAATCCGTGTATATTTCGTATATATATTCTGTATAAATTAATCCGATATATATTATGTATATATCTTCTTTATATATTTTCTGTATATATATTCTATATATATTCCAAAAAGATCGTGTATTTTGTGTTTGATATGAACTAATCCGTGTATGTTCTGTATAAACTAATCGGTGTATATTGTGTATATTTTCTTCTCGCGTTTTCTCATCAGTTTCTGGCCGTGAAATTTGCAATGTGTAAGTTCTGTTTTCATATAAGAAACAAGGATTGATTTGATATCGTGTATATTGTGTATATTTTTTCCTTCTTTTATTTTTCTCACACGTTCGAAATTTCAAATTAGATATCAGGTTGAAGTGAATAAGATTTCACCCGGGCTCCTTCAACTCGAACGGCCACCTTACCTGCAAGAACCCAACACCGGGAGGGGTCCCGGTGTAACGCCCCACTTTTATTTGCCAAAAATCAGAATAAATTTTTCAAATTTAATTCAATAAACACTTGAGGCGTTACTCATTTTCAAACGGTTTCTCAATACTTAACCAAATTTTTCAATACTCGATCATTCATCAAACTCAATCATCAATCATCATCAATAATACTAACTCCCAAAAACGGGTTTTCCAAAATTTCATAAATCATCACCCAAACCGGGTTCCAACAATATTCATAAATTCTAAGGAGCATCTCCTTATCATTTTTCAGTCATAAAATCCGAAATTCATAAATCCAATAATACCCCAAGTTCATAATCATAAAACCAGTTCGTAAATACGGAAGCATAACAAATAATAAGGCCAGTTTTATAGACCGACCACCACTCGCTCTACTCCGCCGTCGTACCTGCCTCGCTTAACCTGAAACGTGAATTTCAGGTGTGGATGAGCACAGTTGGAAAAAGTAGTGGTCACCACTATGCAGTAAACATTATTCGTAATAATGAAACAGAAATCAATAATAAAAAAAAAGTATGGTCTCAGCATGTATACAAATCAATTAATTATCCCAATCTCCTATCAATCATATCAATAACAGACTCATGTGCACACCTATAGCAATAGACTACTGCCGAACTATATACCGAACGCCTTATCTAAGGCCTTACAACGAGTGTCCGGCCAGTAGGAGTATCCCGCCGGCCAAGGCGTCACCTTGGTCTTACCAACGGGGTTGTCCAGCACAGGGACCTTTAACCTAGGTCTTACGGCTCAATATGTGTCCAGCACAGGGACCTTTAACCCAGGACTTACGACTCAAAATGTGTCCAGCACAGGGACCTTTAACCCAAGACTTACGGCTCAAAATGTGTCCAGCACAAGGACCTTTAACCCAGGACTTACGGCTCAAAATGTGTCCAGCACAGGGACCTTTAACCCAGGACTTACGGCTCAAAATGTGTCCAGCACAGGGACCTTTAACCCAGGACTTACGGCTCACAATAATAAGGAGACTACCCAACGGGTACGTTCTATAGATACGGGGATAACCATTCGACAGCCGGTACAGCTCTCATCGAAGGCTACCTGGTTCACATGCATACATTGATCATACCAAATTTAAAACAATAATAACATTTACAGCATAGACAATTTTAGAATAACAACCCACCTGGAATCCGAAGTAGCAAAAGTACACAAGCTGAAGAACGTAGGTCAAAGGCTCGACTCCTCAAACCTAAAAATTTGGGTATTACTATTACTAGGGGTATGATTGGGTAAATTAGGCCACACAAGCAAGTAAAGCACACTTAAACCACTAGATCGCAGAAAAAGGCTAAAAACCGAACATGATCAATCAAAGCACAAAAACCCAACAAGTCAAAATTATAATACACATAATAGGCATTCAAATAAAGCATACAAGATTACATGACATAGCAGTTTATAAGGCAGGAATACGTCACCAATGCATGCCTTTTTATTATTATTATTATTATTATTATTATTATTATTATTATTATTATTATTATTATTATTATTATTTTCTCAATCATATGCATACATGCTAAAAGTCTTATAACATGATATTAAAGCTCCAACAGCACTTCACTTTCTGCTTGATAACAACATAATAGGCTCATCGTGTTATACAGGCAATAACAATGGATCACAATCAACATACAAACATGCCTCACTTGACCTCTTTCTTTTTCATGTTCGAGCAATTATTCAAAGGTCATAAGAAATGACAATAACCACCTCAGATACTCATAAACCGTCATGAGATAATCACGTATAGCTCAACAAAAGCATCACATAACAGTTCGACCAGAAGCATATGATTCCCGTCATATATTCCAGCTAATATTAAGCATGCCTTTAAAGCCTAATCTAATGCTCATCCTACACCGAAATAAGCACCTAATTTCGACATACAAGGAAATAAAAAGGCTCAGCAAATTTCGAACACAAACAGGCCACAACTCAACTATAAACATTATGCACTTCTCTTCAAAATTAAGGCATAAAAATCCCAACTTCTCGAACTGAAAAATAGGCACATAAAGGCCATAAGAAGCTCGGCTAAAAGAGGTACTAAGCTCAGCAAATATACCTCTCGTCGGGAATAAAAACGGGGAAAGAGGTTCGGGCCTCGGCTACAAGTTATTGGCTATCGGTTCTGGGAAAATGGGCCCGTTTCGCTGCAGTCGGTTGGCCCTCGGCTGGTCCCGGTCAGCCATAAAACGGCGCCTCAGCCCCGACTGAAGGTGTTTGCCGGAAATTTGGTTACGGACGTCGGTTCTCAGCTCTCGAAAAGGCTCGGTTTAACTGTTGCCTGGCCACTGCTCGTGTGTCGTTGGTTGTTAGCTGCCGGACAACGGGGCTGCTGCTTCTCGAAAAGGAAGCTGACGGGACGAACCACCGCTGCTCGCCGAGCCTTCCTTGGCTGAGTGCTGACGGCGAAGTGCTGAATTGGGCGGTCAATGGCTGAGGAAAAATCCTCCGATGGTGCTCGCTGTGGTGGTAGCCGAAAAACGAGCAGGGGAAGATGACGACGGGATGCTGTTGAAGTGGGTCGCCAGCGAGGGGTTTTTCTCTTGTCTTCTCGGTCACACAGATGTCCAGTGGTTGGAGACCTCGGCGGGAACAGGGACCGCTGCCGCTGCCGCTGCCGGAAAAGCTCGCGGACTGCACGGAGGTCGCCGGATTGGTTCACAGCGAGGAACAGGGGCTCGCGGCGTCGACAAGCTGTGGCGCGTGGAGGCAGGCCCGCCGGCGACTCGCGATGGCGGAGGAAGCTGTTAACGTGAAAAAAGATGGGGACGATTTCTTATGTTGAATCATTCTCCTCGGTCGAGATTTAAAGAGAGTCGTGGGCGAGGGATGCGAGTGAGTGGGAGAGTACAGGGAAATCAGAGGAGACAACGAGCTCAAAAATATCTGCTACTTCTCACGTGGGAAAAAATAGAAATAGGAAGGCTTTGGGCCACCATTAAAGAAAATGGATCCAATAAAGAAATGGGCTATTTACATGTTTGTTGACTGTTATCTAAATAATTGTATATACACGAGACATGCAAACAGTTTAGCATTAGTAGGAAATATTGTGCAAATAATTAAAAAAGAGAATGAAATCAGCTTACCAAAATAAAAACGGAGTATCCCTTGATTGTCGCTACTGACTGCATTAAAAAGTTAAAAAATAAATACATCTATAAACATGAAAAGACTGTTTTTATAGTCAATTAGGCAATAACAACTTTACGAGAATTATGTTTGAGCGAGAACCTCGGGTTAAACCTTGCCGCCGGCGTCTTCATTTATTTTTATTTATTTTATGTTATTTACAACAGATGTTTATAATACGTATATTTTGTGGTATTTTATACCTTTTTCTATATACACTTTTTTTTTCGGAATACAGATTTATAATAGGTAGTCATGTGTTTGATTAAAATCTATAATTTGTATATGTTACACTTTTGTTTGGTATATAACACGGTATACTAGTTGTACAATAAGTGTTGTTCTAAACGTGTTTGTGTAAGGTATATAACACGGTATATTGGATGTACAATAGACACAATCCTTAGTATATATTTATAAGTTATAAATCTTCGTTAAAAGATACACTTTTATTGTAAAAAAAAAAAAATTACAGACTATTGTCTCTTATAAGCTTATATTTAGTTTATTTATAAATTATAACATGTTTATATTATCAAATCTCTTTACATGACTAAAAAATTATGTTCACATGTCATCATAAACTATTAATTATCATTCAATAAACATTGAAATCCAAAAAACTCATAAAATATACACCCTCAACTTCATATTATAAATCTCCAAATTCACGCCCAAAACCATAGAAATATACACTCAAGATCTTTGCACATATACACAAAAGTTACATAAAATATACACTCGAGTTTCTCATAATTCAAGCCAACAACATATTGGGACACACATATACATAAAATATACATTCGAATTTCTCGTAATTCAATCCAACGACAGATCCGCACATATACGTAGAATATACATAAAATATACACTTGAGTTCCAACGGTGGACATTGACGACATTTGGGAGTCGACAAGCGGGGACAACAGACCTGGACTATGAAGTCGTCTCTTAACCAATATGACAATATTCATGTGTCTAGATATTTGCTTTCATAATAGGTCAGGTTTAACGTGCTGGACTGAAATAAGCTAAAATGTTGAAAAATTAGGTTAAACTAAAGAGTCCCAATTAAAAAGTTAAAGTAAAAAAATCCCTAGTGCCGGTTTGGTGCCGCCTTCCCCAAGCTTAACTGGAGGGCCAGCGCCGGCGAACTGCTATCTCTGGCCGTTGGAGGACAATCGCGCCTCCTCGGTTTGGTGGTCGCCAGTCGAGAATTAAGGTCGCCTTACTCCCGGTGGGTATGCCAATCAATCGATCCACCGATCCCGCGCTCATCCAAGCGTGGGTCGCCCGTATTTGACAGATAAGAAAACGACAGATAAAAATTTCAACTGTAGGAGAAGATAAAAATTTAAGCGTAAAATTGTTGAAGAAGAAGAAGAAGAGAGAGACAGAGGGAGAGAGAAAGTCTCACGATTAGATTTTGAGAAGTTGATAAGTTTTCTATTAATTACTCTAAAAATTGATTACATATGTAAATTAATGGTTTTATTGGCATATGGTAGTTTTGCAAATAAAAAGGGCTCATCTAGTTGAATTGTTATTATTTATGACTTGGTTTCATTTATGTAATAAAAAATTATAAATACAGTACATAGTGACAATTTCTCTAAAGAAATATACTAAAAAGCCAAGAAGGTTTCTAATCAATTGGGGCCCAAAATTTTAAACACATGGGCTGACATTAAAATGGTAAAAGGGCCAAAAATAAATATATGCGATAACGGGAATTTTCTGGTTCGATTCGATTGACGGTAAATAAAATTACTAGACTTATTATATTAATTAGACTACATTTAATTAAATAATAATAAGTCTAAACAGAAATGTGTCGAGCAATAATTCAATTATAGACAATTAATTCAAATAATAATAATATCAGTAAAAGTACAATTACACATTTTAATTAAATAATAACACTTAGACAATTAGGCAATTTGACAAATAAACCATATTAGACAATTAATTATTTATAGCATTCAATAGTAATAACAACAACGAATAAATATAACTAATAAAAATAATAATAAATCATTCTTAAAATTCCATTTTTCAACGGGCTAGATCCGTCTCACGCGATTAAACCGAAATCGCCGAATGACGAATGTTTTTCAATAAAAACAATCGAGTATTCCAACCTTTTATTTAAGTTGACATCGCGACCAATAAAATATGTATAATCGTATAAATAATATTCGATAAATAGAATATACCGAGAAATTCTATAAATCGAACGGGGCGTTACAATCTATCCTCCTTAAAACATTTCCGTCCTCGGAAATGCGAACGAACGCACATAAAAAATAAAACGACAGACTCGAACGGGAAATTTTCAATCACGGGGTCCAGGCATCACCATCCAGAACTCGATTTCGTTCCCATGAGTTCTATCGTCTAATACTCGAACGGCATGTACTCACATACATGAACCAATCCGACTCGTCCTATGCTCATATGTTTACCTTCTTGCTTGGGAGGGTGATCAGTCATGCCCGAGCTCAGGCGTACATCCTCTTGCAAGGGACCCAGTTCGGTTAGCCTATACTCACGAGTATCAACGACTTGCTTCATACCCAACAACACACAAGACCTCAACCGGTCGTTCGGTGTATTGTCAGCGTACTCCGACTACCTCACCATCAAGGTGGACAGGTGACGCCAAGTTTCAGTCTCGTATCCAAGTCACACTGATAACTTGCTCACGATTTAATCATAGACCGTGCGTCTCCATCAGAGACTACGACACGGTACCACATACATACAACACAACACCATCATGCTCACACTCTCATGATATCGAATCCACGAGTCAAACGCAACATAAGGCTTGACCCAAAGCAACACAACATTCCCAATTTGCCGACTCGAGAAACTTTCTCAAGTGAAGCATAGGGGCTCATCGACTACACTCCTTAATCAGAAATCATTGATTAACGATTTATACACATTTTAGTTGAAATTGGGGCTCTTGGTTTAAGGTTCGGGGTAACATATATAGCTCGGCAAAAAGTGGTCGGTCAACGAATTGAATCGAAGGTTCGGGGTTAGGGTACTGTCACCTAAGAGGCGGCACGCTCGCTGGCGGTGCATAAGCGGGGCGCTGGGACGCGTGCGTACCCACCTACTCAGAGACCAGCAGTAAGGTCGAGGCTTGGCCGCACATGCTGGCCTGGGGAGTTTGTGCGTTCGGTGATGGCGGCTGCAGTTCGCATGCGAGTCAACAGCCGGCCGCGCGCAAGCCTCCCGTCTCTCAGCACGGTCGTGCGTGCTCGGCCACCACTTCGCATGGCTACACCCAGTCAGGGTCGGCGTTTGGTCCAGGTTTTCACAAGGAGTTACAATTCAAGGCTACCAAAAAGGATTGGTTTTACCAAATTTCAAAAATTTTGGGGTCAACAACATATATTCCAGGTATTCCACAATTTCAAAGTTCAAGGGTTTCCGAAAATAGAAAGGTATAAGTCTGAGTTCCAAGTCCACTTCCTTTCCCAACGACACATTCTAATACATGAAAAGATCAACGATTGAGATAGACGAGAATTCTCAATGAAATTCAAATACAGTTATTCAGTCGGGATAATCTCCAATCAGCAGCTCCTGCCGAGAGATACAATAACTAGCTCGCCTCGACTCTTCCGACTAACAGCGTCGGCCGTCACGTCAGCTCTTCATCGGGTAGCTAATAGTATCAGCAGTCCTAAACGAGCGCAACTCACTTCCCAATCTTCACACTTAGGAATTTGAACGCTGAGTTCCTCCCGGGATTTCGAAAGGAGGAAAAGAACAAAAATTTTTACGATGAACAAAATTTAGAATAAGGACGGGTCTGCACTACGCGATGTGCTTGTTTCTGTCTCGTCTATCCTCCTTAAAAGGCTTCCGCATAATCTTTAAAGGTAGAAAAACACTCCATCTTCTTATCGAACCGAATTGTGCTGGCCTCAGTTCCTGTGCGTTTATCTCGATGTCGAGTGTGAATAATTATTGTTCCATTCGAGGTTAGGTTATTCACAAAAGTGGCGATAGAAAAATTTTTGCCCTCGAGTCTTCGTGATATTCTAGCGACGGCATTCGGACGAAGCTCTCATAATTCGCAAGAGAATAAAGATAAGCAGAAACAAAGAGATGCTTAATCTCACTTGAAATCAGGTTTTTCAAAACAAAGTCAATTCCCAACATAAGGTAAACCAGAGTTAGCTAAACTTCAAGAGAAGCGAGTTTTAAAGTTGGGAAGCTCAAATAGTTTACACAGTGAATCAAAAGTAGGGGAAGATCAAACGAAATCTTCAAAATACGGAAATCGGATAACAAAAAGAAGCCTCAAGCACAATTCAAAATTGTTTGCCATGCGAATGGGAAAAGGTTTGCAAGAGAATACAAGACGACAAGAGTTTAAGAAAGGAAGCACGACTGCTTTGCCTTCACGAGTCCACGATTCACTGTTTTCATCATCGGTTCAAGTTGTTCCTGGTAAGTCCCGCTGTCACTAGAAATCGCTCGCGGCCCAAAATACGGAAGAGAATTTCGCAGATGAATAGGTCACTATCGTCTTTCTGGAGGCCTAGCCACTCTCGAGAGTCGCGACAGTGTTACGCATTAAGTTTCTCCAACACTTCTCGGGGTCAGACATTAAGTATGCACAAGGCACCCAACTCTACTCCAGCTCGCACTCGACTGGAGGTCAAATACACATTTGATGGTCTTAACAACCATGGTTACAGACTTCCGAATATCCCACACTTGGGACTTCTCCGGTTGTCTGCTCCCTTTATTTAAGCCTTCTCTTTTCGAGATGGCTCACGAATGTTCCTCTTCTGAAGACACCAAAATACATTGAGAGGACTGTTATACACAGAACTCAGCTCGATAACACATATCAAATTTCTAAACAACCAACACCTCAAGTTAGAACCTAACTCTATATCGCTAGAGTTCAAGTTCATACAACTAAGGTTCGCCACTCATCTAGAGTTCCAGAACGTTTAAAAGTAGGAGGATAAATTCCTAAGCCCCGGTTTCATTTTAGTAATCAATAACCAATCAATGCACAATAATCTTAAATCATTCAGGTACTCGTACCTGAGTTGGCGCGGCACGACGGAAGCGAGTGGTCATAACTATATCATAGTATCCAATTATTTCTCAGAGTTCACAAAATTCGTACATACCAGTCTACAGAAACGCAGACTGGCTCTGATACCAAACTGTAACGCCCCACTTTTATTTGCCAAAAATCAGAATAAATTTTTCAAATTTAATTCAATAAACACTTGAGGCGTTACTCATTTTCAAACGGTTTCTCAATACTTAACCAAATTTTTCAATACTCGATCATTCATCAAACTCAATCATCAATCATCATCAATAATACTAACTCCCAAAAACGGGATTTCCAAAGTTTCATAAATCATCACCCAAACCGGGTTCCAACAATATTCATAAATTCTAAGGAGCATCTCCTTAACATTTTTCAGTCATAAAATCCGAAATTCATAAATCCAATAATACCCCAAGTTCATAATCACAAAACCAGTTCGTAAATACGAAAGCATAACAAATAATAAGGCCAGTTTTATAGACCGACCACCACTCGATCTACTCCGCCGTCGTACCTGCCTCGCTTAACCTGAAACGTGAATTTCAGGTGGGGATGAGCACAGTTGGAAAAAGTAGTGCTCACCACTATGCAGTAAACATTATTCGTAATAATGAAACAGAAATCAATAATAAAAAAAAGTATGGTCTCAGCATGTATACGAATCAATTAATTATCCCAACCTCCTATCAATCATATCAATAACAGACTCATGTGCACACCTATAGCAATAGACTACTGCCGAACTATATACCGAACGCCTTATCTAAGGCCTTACAACGAGTGTCCGGCCAGTAGGAGTATCCCGCCGGCCAAGGCGTCACCTTGGTCTTACCAACGGGGTTGTCCAGCACAGGGACCTTTAACCCAGGTCTTACGGCTCAATATGTGTCCAGCACATGGACCTTTAATCCAGGACTTACGGCTCAAAATGTTTCCAGCACAGGGACCTTTAACCCAGGATTTACGGCTTAAAATGTGTCCAGCACAGGGACCTTTAACCCAGGACTTACGGCTCAAAATGTGTCCAGCACAGGGACCTTTAACCCAGGACTTACGGCTCACAATAATAAGGAGACTACCCAACGGGTACGTTCTATAGATACGGGGATAACCGTTCAACGGCCGGTACAGCTCTCATCGAAGGCTACATGGTTCACATGCATACATTGATCATACCAAATTTAAAACAATAATAACATTTACAGCATAGACAATTTTAGAATAACAACCCACCTGGAATCCGAAGTAGCAAAAGTACACAAGCTGAAGAACGTAGGTCGAAGGCTCGACTCCTCAAACCTAAAAATTTGGGTATTACTATTACTAGGGGTTTGATTGGGTAAATTAGGCCACACAAGCAAGTAAAGCACACTTAAACCACTAGATCGCAAAAAAAGGCTAAAAACCGAACATGATCAATCAAAGCCCAAAAACTCAACAAGTCAAAACTATAATACACATAATAGGGATTCAAATAAAGCATCTAAGATTACATGACATAGCAGTTTATAAGGCAGGAATACGTCACCAATGCATGCCTTTTTATTATTATTATTATTATTATTATTATTATTATTATTATTATTATTATTATTATTATTATTATTATTTTCTCAATCATATGCATACATGCTAAAAGTCTTATAACATGATATTAAAGCTCCAACAGCACTTCACTTTCTGCTTGATAACAACATAATAGGCTCATCGTGTTATACAGATAATAACAATGGATCACAATCAACATACAAACATGCCTCACTTGACCTCTTTCTTTTTCATGTTCGAGCAATTATTCAAAGGTCATAAGAAATGACAATAACCACCTCAGATACTCATAAACCGTCATGAGATAATCACGTATAGCTCAACAAAAGCATCACATAACAGTTCGACCAGAAGCATATGAATCCCGTCATATATTCCAGCTAATATTAAGCATGCCTTTAAAGCCTAATCTAATGCTCATCCTACACCGAAATAAGCACCTAATTTCGACATACAAGGAAATCAAAAGGCTCATCAAATTTCGAACACAAACAGGCCACAACTCAACTATAAACATTATGCACTTCTCTTCAAAATTAAGGCATAAAAATCCCAACTTCTCGAACTGAAAAATAAGCACATAAAGGCCATAAAAAGCTCGGCCAAAAGAGGTACTAAGCTCAGCAAATATACCTCTCGTCGGGAATAAAAACGGGGAAAGAGGTTCGGGCCTCGGCTACAAGTTATTGGCTATCGGTTCTGGGAAAATGGGCCCGTTTCGCTGCAGTCGGTTGGCCCTCAGCTGCTCCCGGTCAGCCATTAAACGGCGCCTCAGCCCCGACTGAAGGTGTTTGCCGGAAATTTGGTTACGGACGTCGGTTCTCAGCTCTCGGAAAGGCTCGGTTTAACTTTTGCCTGGCCACTGCTCGTGTGTCGTCGGTTGTTAGCTGCCGGACAACGGGGCTGTTGCTTCTCGAAAAGGAAGTTGACGGGACGAACCACCGCTGCTCGCCGAGCCCTCCTTGGCTGAGTGCGACGGCGAAGTGCTGAATTGGGCGGTCAATGGCTGAGGAAAAATCCTCCGATGGTGCTCGCTGTGGTGGTAGCCAAAAAACGAGCAGGGGAAGATGACGACGGGTTGCTGTTGAAGTGGGTCGCCAGCGAGGGGTTTTTCTCTTGTCTTCTCGGTCACACAGATGTCCAGTGGTTGGAGGCCTCGGCGGGAACAGGGACCGCTGCCGCTGCCGGAAAATCTCGCGGACTGCACGGAGGTCGTCGGATTGGTTCACAGCGAGGAACAGGGGCTCGCGGCGTCGACAAGCTGTGGCGCGTGGAGGCAGGCCCGCCGGTGACTCGCGATGGCGGAGGAAGCTGTTAACGTGAAAGAAGATGGGACGATTTCTTATGTTGAATCATTCTCCTCGGTCGAGATTTAAAGAGAGTCGTGAGCGAGGGATGCGAGTGAGTGGGAGAGATACAGGGAAATCAGAGGAGACAACGAGCTCAAAAATATCTGCTACTTCTCACGTGGGAAAAAATAGAAATAGGAAGGCTTTGGGCCACCATTAAAGAAAATGGATCCAATAAAGAAATATACTAAAAAGCCAAGAAGGTTTCTAATCAATTGGGGCCCAAAATTTTAAACACATGGGCTGACATTAAAATGGTAAAAGGGCCAAAAATAAATATATGCGATAACGGGAATTTTCTGGTTCGATTCGATTGACGGTAAATAAAATTACAAGACTTATTATATTAATTAGACTACATTTAATTAAATAATAATAAGTCTAAACGGAAATGTGTCGAGCAATAATTCAATTATAGACAATTAATTCAAATAATAATAATATCAGTAAAAATACAATTACACATTTTAATTAAATAATAACACTTAGACAATTAGGCAATTTGACAAATAAACCATATTAGACAATTAATAATTTATAGCATTCAATAGTAATAACAACAACAAATAAATATAACTAATAAAAATAATAATAAATAATTCTTAAAATTCCATTTTTAATGGGATAGATCCGTCTCACGCGATTAAACCGAAATCGCCGAATGAAGAATGTTTTTCAATAAAAACAATCGAGTATTCCAACCTTTTATTTAAGTCGACATCCCGACCAATAAAATATGTATAACCGTATAAATAATATTCGATAAATAGAATATACCGAGAAATTCTATAAATCGAACGGGGCGTTACACCCGGCGTCGGGCCTCTGATGCTCAAGTCAGAATCACTCCAAGACTTCAAATCCCAAAAGTATAATTATGAATGTAGAGAGAGTGAGAGAATGAGATACCTTAACCCCCTTTTATAGGGAGAGTGTACCTTATGGCCCAAGTTGGGCTTGTCCAATAGCATCATGCCACGTGTCCTGCCCATGTGTAGACTTATTCTTCAATATATTTTCTTTTTATCCATTAAACCCGCCTAGTACAATATCCTATATCATCTAGTCCCCCCCACTCTGGTCGAGTACGCATGACTCGATCCAAGTGTGAAATTCCTCTTTTGGCTGTTTCCCTCAACCTGCCACTGAGGCTATAATTTGAATAAATCATCGACCACCAAATAGTCACCAAACCGTCAAATGAGCATTGGGACCCCCAATGAACACCGAATGACCACTAAGGTAAAAAACCGAGAGACCTGCCTCTGAGGTCGAACACCGAAAGACCTACCACTGAAGTAAAAAATCGAATGACCTACCACTGAGTAAATTCCTTTGCTATTCCTTTTGCAATGTTGACCTTCCATTGATATCCCTAGACCTGCTTACCTGAACTTCCATGATACTTTGATAGATTTTTTTGATGTCTCCCCGAAGTCTTAAATTTGAAAATTTGAACTCACATCTGTTGTTTTTCGATCACCATGTTTGGGCTCTTTTCGCTCAAAGATAAACCTTTTCTACCACCTCGTCCTATCATCGCCCCTCAGTTCAAAATTTGAAATTCAACCCTGTTGTTTATCCTCTCGAGAACTGAATGTTCTGACGCGCTACTAAAGTCGAAAAATAGAATTCGACCAAACCAAATAAAACCCTCGACCTGCCATCGAGGTCGTCGAATAATCTCCACGAATTTCACCAAATGAACTCCCTCGACCTGCCACCGAGGTCGAAAAATAAATTCGATAAAACCACAATCAAGTAAAAACCATGGACATGCCACCGAATTCTGCAAATAAACTCCTTGAACTTCTCCAAATGAATTCCTGCCACTGCCAACAAGGTATCAAATAGCCTCCATATTTTCAACGACCCAACACTAGGATCGACCACCCAGCCCGGAGGCCATAGTCATGGTGGATTTTTTGTCTTTCGAACACATGTCTACCCTCAAAGGAGTGGTCGATACATGCAACCACCCAGCCCGGAGGCCTTAGTCATGGTGGATTTTTCGTCCTCGAACACATGTCCACCCTCAAATGAGTGGTCGATACATGCGACCACCCAGCCTGGAGCCCTTAGTCATGGGGGATTTTTTGTCTTTGAACACATGTCCACCCTTAAAGGAGTGGTCGATAAATGTGACCACCCAGCCCGAAGGCTTTAATCATGGTGAATTTTTTTTTCTTCGAACGCATGTCCACCCTCAAAGGAGTGGTCGATACATGCGACCACCCAGTCCAGAGGCCTTAATCATGATGGGTTTTTTTGTCTTCGAACACATGTCCACCCTGAAAGGAGTGGTCGATACATGCGACCACCCAGCCCGGAGGCCTTAGTCATGGTGGATTTTGTTTCTTCAAACACATGTCCACCCTCAAAGGAGTGGTCGATTCATGCGACCACCCAGCCCGGAGGCCTTAGTCATGGTGGATTTTTTGTCTTCGAACACATGTTCACCCTAAAAGGAGTGGTCGATACTTGCGACCACCCAGCCTGGAGGTCTTAGTCATGGTGGATTTTTTGTCTTCGAACACATGTCCACCCTCAAAGGAGTGGTCGATACATGCGACCACCTAGTCCAGAGGCCTTAGTCATGGTAGATTTTTTATCTTCGAACACATGTCCACCCTCAAAGGAGTGGTCGATCCATGCAACCACCCAGCCTGGAGGCCTTAATCATGGTGGATATTTTGTCTCCGAACACATGTACACCCTCAAAGGAGTGGTCGATACATGCGACCACCCAGCCCGGAGGCCTTAGTCATGGTGGATTTTTTGTCTTCGAACACATTTCCACCCTCAAAGGAGTGGTCGATACATGCGACCACCCAGCCGGAGGCCTTAGTCATGGTGGATTTTTTATCTCCGAACACATGTCAACCCTCAAAGGATGGTCGATGCATGCGACCACCCAGCCTGGAGGCCTTAATCATGGTGGATTTTTTGTCTTCGAACACATGTCCACCTTCAATGGAGTGGTCAATACATGCGACCACCCAGCCCGGAGGCCTTAATCATGGTGGATTTTTTTCTTCGAACAGCTCGAACGCTTTGACCTGCCAATTTTTTTAACTTCCCTTTCTTGTCTGTACACGACGACCTGAGTTGTTGTTTGCTCCATGCTTTCCACTCCTCACCATAACCAATATCGAGTCCACCTGCTCATGCATTTTTCTCAGCAAGAATTCAACAAATTCTATTAGTTGTATTTTATCCACATCATCTAATTTGCAATCCCGATAGCAATAATAACAAAAGACGAAAAAATCATAGCAATCACATTGATCCACATTCGTTTATACCACACCTCCATCTACATGCAAGTCTCTACCATGATATGAAATCGCATATACACCAACTCAAATGTACAGTCGACCAGAATTTCACAAAGCCATGAATTCAATAAACAATTACATACCGAGCTACAAACAATCACTAAAAGAATGAACCAAACAAAAATTCAAATGAGTTACTCCCATACCGACCTCCTTAGTCATGACGACTCGAGACTGGCCAGCCCGAAGGCCATAGTCATGCCAGAATCATGTTCAAGGCTCCACGTACACCTCATTTTCTGCATTTTGTTAGTCACTTGAATAATACTTCCCAAACATATCCATATACACCACAATCTCAGCAACATTTCGCCCAAAATATTCAAACAATGAACATTACTCCAAAAAAGAATGCTAAGGGACTCAATGTGTCACTAAATCGCGTTAGTCGAACTTGACCGCCGACAAGAGTTGGTATTAATTTTATACCTGAAAGCCGAGCATCCCACTCCCAATTATCCTACCTCTCCAAAGAGAATGATTTCTGCCTCTGAAATTGTCAACTGCGGGCGGCACCATCCAGACTCGTGTTAGAGTATACTGTAAAGCAAACTTTTACGAGAGCTTTTGGATTGTATTATTCGATTTCCCATTTGACTGAAATGAATGTTTTTCACATTGTTGCATTCTTTATGATTGCTTGTATGCTAAATGTCCAATTATCTTATATTGTAGACAATGTGGTGTGTTAGTAGTCACACAGAAGATTGCATTGTCGGTTCCTTATAAGATATAAATGGTATTCACAACTGAGATAGTTATGGACATGACTATCAGTGTAGGTTGTAGTATAAACTGGATGTAGCTTGTCTTGGCTATTGGTTTATACTAGTGCGCTGCGTCGCATTGAAAGGATCACAGTTGAGACGTGTTCTTCTGTTCTGACTATCATGAAGAACCTAGGTCTCGGTGACTCTACTAATTCTTAACCCTAACTGTGGTAATTAGATATATGGGATATTTGTTTGTTACTTTGACTTACCATGGGTGAGGACCAAGTATTGGTTCAATAGCTCCGTATCTTGGGTAACAACACTATCTGCATGATATCTATTTATTGGCATTAGGGCACC